TAAGGCCTATACATATCTACTAATCAAACTAATATAACATCATGAGACATTCCAGGACACAGTTTATGTTGTAATTTGTAGCCAAGCTGCTTATCAATTTTCAAATAAGAAAAAGCAAACACAAGACTTGCATTCTTCAGAGCAGCACTGTGCAAGTAATGTTTAGGGACATAGTTTAGAAGACAGCAAACTACTTTTCATTCAAGGGCAGTATCCACATGAAGTACCCAAATCTGAGTTGCTCCTTTACTTTCATTGCTTCCTTTTCAAGAATTCAAAATTTCTTTTTTTTCCCATTCAAAATTAACAGGTATCTTGAATCAAGTGTCGTAACGTACCACCTGCCCCCTACCCCCGTTTCCTAGGTATTGGGTTAAAATTGAACCATATGCCTTGCAGTAATCCAGGAGAAGACACACATTTTGCAGCTTTAGAAAAGACAGCAGTAAATCCTTGTTTTCTGGGTATTTCACATTAACCATGCAGGATGGGAGCAGAGCTGATATAAGCTTAGTTCTGCTTTTCTCTGTAAGAAAGCAGAAATTACCTCAGCTCGAGTATCCCACTGCAGCTACAAGAATTAACTATGAACCTGCTAGAGCAGCATTACAGCATTTAAAATTGACATTTAAAACATTACCAGCAACAGGTGGTGAAGCTAGTCAGAAACACTTAAAAATATTTCCTAAGTGACATAATATTTAGACCATGTCTCAGTCCCCCAGATAACAGAGAAGTTTTGAAACGCAGAATGTGTTAGAAAGTGAGAGAGCGCTACCGCGTATCAGTTTTATTTATTAACACTTCCTGAAAGTGAGGATACATGACAAAGCTTAGAAATAGATATTTGTAATACAGTTTTCCCCTACTGTAATATCTTTCCACTAACACCGCATCTAATGATGCAGATGTCTGTTCTGTGTGCTCTGGTTTTAGTGAGTAACTGAAAATGATACCTTGGGGTCGATAAGTTGCCATGCATACAAAAACACCTCTGTACACATCCTGAAGACAGGCCACAAACTAGAACAAGACATTGACAGCACTTTAAATGTATCAATTTATTGCATATGTCAGTACATAAAAATAGAAAAGTGTTTTTTGTAAAATTAATTTTATTGTAAAAACCAGACTAGAATGAGAATGTAAAACTTTGCCACGATTAGCAGGTACACAGTAACATTTACGCTTTGTCTACAAAACTTAAGGATACTTTATAAGACATTTTTGCTTCAACTATATATTAAAGAAGAATCAAATAAAAAGCTTGCATCATATATTCGATGACTGTTTCTGATTTCAAAACACAAGTGTTATTTAGAACTTCAATATGCTGTCCCTATTTACACTTCTGTGGGGTTCTACTCTAAATTATACAAGCAGGATGGCATTGTAAATTATTCCTAATGGGATACATCAGGCTGATCCCACTACATGCAAGAGGCACTGATTTTACATTTGGCAGAAGTGCCCCAAGCAAAATCACCTGTCATTAACAAAAATAAAAATGTGCTTCTCAAGAATTGAATTATGAAATGTGGAGGTATGTCTGCATCTTTTTGCTAACAGAAGAGACCACACCTTGGACTCAATTCAGCTTTGCATTCTTCACTGTGAACAACGAACGTGATGCAAATGATTAGCTTAGAGATGCCAATATGCATATTTTGTACAGTTAATCCATCTGCCCTTCAACTGAGAGATTGTCCGTAGTCTACCAAACTATTTGTGCTCTATTTCTAATTGTACCTGAGAAATGGACATGAGGGCAGCTACACCAGTTAATATTTCTTCACATGAAAGCACAGCTTATCTCTCTGCATTTCACAGATCAAAATCAAATATTAGGAATGTAAACTTGGGTTAGCAGGAAGCCTCAAGTATTTCCACTAATTAAAACCACACACACGTGTGTGCACGCAACGTCTTACACTGGATGCTTCCTTACAAGGACTCTGCTGCTACAGCTGTTCCCGTTCAACTCCTGACCCTGCCTTTTTTTTTTCTTTTTTTTTTTTTTTTAAAGTTCCTCTTATAAAAGAGAAAATTCCTTTAATGAGCATATTTAAACCAAGAGGTTTTCTTACAAACCTGTGAAAATAATGCAACTCTCTTCCCAAACTAGAAATCTATATATACAGGACAAATACCTAGGAAACATCTATACACAAACGGAGAACTGTTAAGGGAAAACATACAATGGTATTAAGTGGAATAAATGCAACAGTATCACAATACACCTTTTGGCAATTCAAAGTTATTACTACTATGCTGCTTGCAGTTCACTGTCTGAAAATGGCTTTTAGAAGCAGATAACTGTGGGTTTCTATCACACAGACCATAAAATAAGAACAAGTCTTGACATGTCAAAACAAGTTTCTTCCCCCTTCTCCCTCCCTTAAAAGATAGTATGTACGACAGTGGAATATTTGCATAAAAACCATCATTTCCTTCCTATTTTCTTTCAGTGGATTTCATAGCCAATGCAATGAAAAACAGAATGAAAATAGACATTCATTCACGAGTGTACGCGCCCAACCCATTCATGGAAAAGCAAAAATGTGCCTACATGGAAGAAACCACATGGAGTGTAAAGGATGATGCATAAGACAATTGTGTCTTCTCATACCCAATACTTGCAAAATCAGGCAAAGCTTAATCTTTATGTCCTGCAGACAATATAGTGAAAAGATACGGCTTGATAATCAAAAGTAATGTTTAGATACAGTCCACTTCTAACAGCTCCAGATTGCCATAATCTACTGCCTCACATTTTTGACTTTCACTTAGCAACTATGTGCCCAAATAAGAATAGTTCTTTTGTATCTAAGTGCCACATAATACTGGGGGTATTTTGGGTTGAGGTTTTTCTTTGTCTTTGGTTGGTGGGAGTGGAGTAAAAAGTCATATTACTTTAGAAATTGACCTTTTATGGAAAAAAAAAGTATATAATGGCAAGTTATGACAACTTATTTACAACAAACAATTATTTACTTCCTCTTCATTCTGTATCCAAGTAATCTATTCTTTTGGCTTTATAAACTTGCTTTTAGAAAAGCAGTATTTGTCCACTTATCTTCCTTCTCTACCTTAATTCTAAGGCGACGCAAAGTAGCTGAAACAACATATGCAAGCAACTCGCATTGCCCTTTTAGGGGAAATCAGGGAAAGGGAATACTACGTCTATTAACTTCCTTCCGCTATGTAAACAAGCCCCCCCAACGAAACTTCACAATATACCTTACCCACCTGCCTTCCTCCAAAATATACCAGCACTGAAGAGCTAAAGATAAGTTTTGGTTTCACTCAGCTTTAAAACTATGCTGTCTACAATGAGTTTAGGTCTATAGATCCAAAAAGATCTACAGCTTTTCAATCAACTCTAAGAAAACCTCAGTAATAGTATGACAAAAGATACTTACCAGAGAAAGCAGCAACATCTAGTATGTATGTGCTTATTTAAAAAAATAATTAAAAAAAATAAATATCACATTTAAGTAAAGATGTATCACCCTATCCATAAATTGCTGACAACTATTACCCACGTGTACACAAGACCTGTAATTCCATGTAATAAATTTTAGGAGGCATAACCATTAAGGCACCAGTTCAGGAAAGCAGTTTTATTCAATGAGAGAACGTAAGCACAAGCTTAAAATATCACTGTCCATCAGGAAACAGATTTTAAGAGTGTGCTGAGATGCTTTTCTGAATCAGGACAACATGGCAGAAAAGTTTATTTAAAAATTTCAATCCGAAGGGCAATTGTACAGATTGTGTGGAAGATTCTCTTCAGTTTGTTCTTCCCATAAAAAAATATTTTGAAGAGGCAAACTATCAACTGCAGCAAATGAGAAATCAAGCCTGCAGAAGAGATTTAAGCAGCTCCACACTCCAATACAGACTGAGCTAACAGTACACAACTTTAATAGGACTACCTAAGAATAAAAAAAAAAAAACAATATGCAGCCAGAATCAAACCCTCTCAATTTAAGTACTGCTGGCTCTGAAATGGTGATATTGGCTTCAAAAGTTCCAGCAGAGCTATGGAAAACTGACTTCTGCTGATGTTTAGTCTACTTCCACATGGTACAACAGAACTGTAAAAGACTTTTTGCAAGCAAATGGGTAAAAGTATTAAAATAAATGTCATCTCTTTTAACTAAGTTTAGGTCTACTAAATTTAATGCACTGCTCTTTTTTATTATCCTTATTGTAACAACTCTATACATTAATCTCTGATCATGTGATCGCTGGTAATTGTTTGGATTTGTTTCTTTTGGAGGTATAAATAAAGGGCACAGACATTTAACTACACCAGCTTAAAAACCACCCAAACAAACACAACAAAAAAAAATAATAAACAAACATACATACTTTTACCTGGTATGACACTCCTTTCTATCATGCCACCCACCCTGCCTTGGGAAATCCCATCTCAAATGCACAAGTAGACCAATACCAACAAATAGTTTGCCCGTACGTTAGTGAGGAGAGCTTGGGGCGGAAAGGAGCTTAGAATGCACTGCTCTCTTTTTGAAGGTTATTTCTATTTTCTATGAAGAAATTGCCTGGGCAAAATCCTGAAGCCATGATGTTTAGGCACATAAAACCTTCCGGGCACTATTGCAATACAAACAATAAAATGAAACCAGGGAAAGTGCCTTTTCCTCTTCAGTTGCAGTTTGAAATATATACGTATGCATAACCATATGAAACAGTAATAACCCAGGATAGTATACTTGCAAGTATACTTTACCATTAATGTTATATTATTTAGCACATTAAAGACTTCTCACCTTGCATAATATAAAATTTCAAGGAATAAAACACTATTCTCATGCATGGCACACTTTAAATAAACTGTAAGAGAAACAACAAATCATTGTGCTAACCATGACTGTCCAAAAAGCTCACACATACAGCAATGAATACTGAAGAGCCTCCAGTTGCTCTAAACTAACACATTCTGTACTACTTTTGTAGCAAGTTCCTTTAATAGCATCCATTGTACATATCAAACAAATGGAATATACGGACAGAGATACCAAAAAAGTATGAGAAAGACATAAAATGGTTCATTTACAATGCTGCAAATGTAAAAGTTATCTGGAACATCTTAATAAAGCATCAGACCTTTCCAAGTTTAATTTCACTCTCTAGGCAAGTACAGACATGACAAAACATTTAAAAATGGACATTCTTTTACACTTTTCACAAATCAAGGTACAGTGCAGGTACTCCTCCCTACCCCACGCCAAAGAAGAATATCAATCATATTATTGTTACGTTAGATGACGTTTTCGCCATTTCTTCAGGGGAGTGACTCTTTATTACTTCTTTGATGAACTGTTCAAGTGCAGTGAAATAACCCTGGCACTGCCAAGTGTCATTATGAGTTCCATCAGGAAATATCGCCAATCTCTTAGTCCGAGCTGGGGATAATTCATAAAGTTGCTTCATCATAACTGGTGGAATTAACTGGTCAGACAACCCAGAGATGAAGAGAGAAGGCATTCTGCACTGAGAGATTTTTCTGTAGGACAGAAATTTATTTTTGTAGCACCATAAAGGAAGATACCTCATTGGAAAGAAAGAAAACAAAGTGCTGGCCATGTATGGGATGCTAAGAAAGGTGTTCTCCACCACGATGGCAGAAATCCTATGGGAATTTTCAGAAGCTAAGTGAATAGCTACTGCTCCCCCCAAGGAACGGCCAAAAAGAAAAATTTTTGTTTTATCAAGATCAGACCGAGTCATCACATAGTCTAACACAGCCTCAGAATCTAAGTACAAACCTTCTTCACTTGCTTCTCCTTCACTTTTTCCATACCCTCTATAATCGACAAGAATTAAGTTTACTTTCAGGTTTACCAGCATTAACAAAGCATTTGGCAACCTGTGGCCAATGTTGCCTGCGTTCCCATGAAAGTAAATGATGGTTGGAGAATATGCTGCATTGTCCCCTGTGTATCTCAGCAGAATAAGGTTGAGAAGAACTCCATCTTTGGTTTTGATGAAGATGTTTTCATGCGGTATACCAGTAGGCATAGGAACATAAAGGCGTGATGAAGAGGGCTGTTCAGGAAAGTAAAGCAGCACATCCTGGAATTTATATAATATACCCGCTATTGAGACAAATATTAATATAAGTAGTATAATGCCTCCGTACAAGTGAAAAGTTACTATCAAAGGTAAAAGACAAATACGGCAGAGACTCCAAGACCAGGAAGCCAAAGCTAGAAGCCATCTTTTAACAAAGTTCCAAAGCATCCATGACTTTTCCATTGTAGAAGTCAGTGATCTTTTACTCCAAGTAAATTCTGAAAAAAAAAAAAAACAACCAAACATGTATGTATAAATATAGGGGAAAGAAAAAGGAAGTGATTTAAGCATTCATACTTGCAGAAGATCAATTGCAAGTCAATACATTAAATCATAAACATCAAACTCAGTGGCAAACTCCCTTTGAATTTCTGGAAACCATTTATTTCTGTAAAACAAGCAGAAAAGCAATTATAAGGCAAAGGCTTTAGAATTCTTCAAAATCTCGTTTACAGTATTTCAGCAGGCAAGGTCCATCAGCAGCACTAGAAAAACGGTTGACTGGGACCATAATAACTTCTGCTTTCCCTCATCCCTACCGACCAACAGAACAACCATACACACTGCAGCAGCAATTTGTCACAGCTTCTCATATAAGTAGTTCTAGAATCCAGAGAACAACAACAACAACAAAAAAAAAACACCACAAAAAAACACCCTTAGTTCTAAGTTGCCATTGATTAAGGCCAAGAGGAGCATTCAGTAAGCCTGTGCACTTCACTCTGCAACCAGCGGAGGCTCATAACGCACATCGGGTCTGCTATCGTTTAGCAGCTGTGGTTCAGAACCTTGATCAACCATGAGTACAGAGCAACACGTTAACTGGTCAGAAGACAGACACTCCTCTACAGTAAGACACCACACTGTATCTCCATTTATGACAGCTGTTTTGCTATATTCGGATCAGTTCTGATTTACAATGATTGTTTTCCACTACCTGATCAGTAATCCATTTTAAATCTTTAGCTGAATGAAAGATTGTATCATCACACAAGGCCACTGAAAACAGCCAGCTAACTACGTTATTCTCTGACCCATGAAAAGCACAACTGCTGAAAAGTCCAAATATACTGCCTGGAAATGACAACACAAGCTCACTTGTTTAAGAATACTCCAAGTTAAATCGCAGGTAATAACAACAGTTGAGACACACTCAAAGTTATAACTTCCTAAAACGATGTAGTGCAGTAAGAAGTTGAATTAACTCCAAAGGAGTCTGGCACGCACCAGCCACTTTGGTAGGATCGAGTGATAAAAGGTGACCTCTGCAGTCACAGCCTTTGCACTCCACAAATACGACAATCATGCAATATGACCAGCAAAAACCAACATCTCTATTTTATGCAGACAATTACATATTAATCAGAAATAAAAATAAATGCCACATCTTAAGATTCACATACTAACAAAAGGCTACGTGAAATTAAGTTTCTACATAGCATTATCTACTCCCAATATGCAGAACTGCTGAAATAAATAGTCTAGAGAGCAGTTCTCAACTTTGTTCTCTTACATTATTTATGAGCTTATGTTCAACATCCCCACACAAGTATGCGCAAATATTATCTGTATGAAAATTTAATTATTGTGATCCATTTCTCTAGTAAAGAATTCACAGTAATTAGGAGACATCTAAAGTTAAGTACTTTAATTTGTAAGAGAACTTCCTGATCAAGTTGACAAACGTTTCCTGCAGTGCATTTCAAGACTATAAGAACACTGACGATGGCGCAGTAAAAACACTCTCCTTATCTATGCTATCCAAAATTTTGCTTTCTTACAAAATGAAAGAAACTCCAAAAATAATTTCTCAACAAGGCTTTCACAAAAGAGTAAGAGACTCATCATTAAAAACTATGAAAAACCAAAGAAGTCATAAAAATCTTAAGGTGATTAAATTTTGCACATGGCTATCCCATATACACTAAGGATTGCTACTGAAGGCTGATACAACTGATTTTATAAGCCACATTAGTTTTGTTTATGCACTGCTTTTGTAATCACTTCAGTAAGGTAATATTATCAAAATGCTATACTACTGAGATACTGCTGCTGTGTGATTACTTCTGATATATATAGGTATATGTAAAAACTACTGGAGTTGCAAAACCAATGCATCCCACAACTTAGGTTATGCCAGGGGAAATTTAGGTTAGATATCAGGAAAAATTTCTTTACAAAGAGGGTTGTGAAGTATTGGAACAGGCTGCCCAGGGAGGTGGTGGAGTCCCCATCCCTGGAGGTGTTTAAAAACCATGTGGATTTTGTGTTGAGGAACATGGCTTTGAGACCCTGACAATGCAGGGTGAATGGTTGGACTTGATGATCTTGAGGGTCTCTTCCAACCAAATGATTCTATGATTCAACCCAACATGCGGTAGTTAGCAGGAGGAGTAAACTATACAGCCACAAACGTTTTGTACTCACCTACATTATTTAAATAAAGCTGACTACTCTGCGCCAAGAACAACTACATGATTATTAAAGTTTTCTTCCCAGATATGTGAAACTTCTAGTTCCATCCATTTCCAGGCTTGAATCAGACCATCTCTCTTACTGCACATCTTACTGCAAGATTTCTTAGCTAGAGAACGAAGATACAAGCTTCTCCTAGGTTCTTCCCTGCCTCCTTCCAATATCAATTGAGAGATTACAAGAACGGAAAATAATGGTTGTCTCAAACAAGCACACAGGCCCGGAAGAGACTTTAAACCAAGACAACACAAGCTCATTCTCAATAAAGCTACAAACCATGCTTTTCATGGAGTCCAAAGCAGCAGGCCTTCATAGCATTATCTTGTTTGACCTGAACAGTAGAAGATGATGCAGGTAGAACGAAATTGCCACTTAAAGTACGTAAATAAAAACGGTCAGCTAATATAGTAATTTTCAGTGAGTGAAGGTGTTCCTCAACACTTTTTAAAGTGTATGACATTTGAGACTGCTCAGCATAGTGCAAGACTACAGAAAAAAAAATCAAACCAAAACAAACAAAAAAAAATCACCCACCCTCTTCTTGGTCTACTGTTGTGCTGCACAGAAGTTAGAAGCCTTTCAAACAGTTTACAATGTAACACATTATGACACAAAAACTCTACCTTGAATTATGAAGAGCATATGTTGCGATTAGCTCCTGTATCTCTACATGTTGTGACTAGCAAGATGCCAGAATACTCACCGAAACGGGGTTAATAGGAAAGGAAATGGAGAACAATATATTTAGACTTTGAAGTCTGAGCTCGTCAACCTAAGAAACAAAGTGGACCTGCCACCTGGACAAGGCCATTTCTTTCTAGACAAGACTACTTCTGTTCCTAGACTACAGGAACCACTTGCTCCATAACTTCTGATGTCCAAGTTAAGGCAAGAAGCGTGCACCACTTTACGTCTTCTAAAACATAACTTTTAAATCAATTTCTGTCACCTGCAAATATGACTAGTTTTGTTTCTTTTTAACAGCTGACTGTTTAACAGGATTATCTCAGCTATATCACATCGCCTTCTGCTGTTAGATGTATCACAGCTCTCCTGAGAGGTGGCATGAAACATCATCTGTATATTACAGATGGAGAAACTGGAACCAAGGGAAGTCAGCACGTTGGCCAGTGGAAGGTCTTCTGTTTCAGCCAGGGAAATTAGTTTTCTCTACCGATTTCCTTTTCAAGTCTCCTGAACAAAAACATTAACTCCTTGGAAAACATCCTTACTTGACTGAAAAACCCTCGTCTTTTTGAAGGAACATTATATTGCAGCACTATATTTAAAGTAGTCATCATAACTTCGCCAATGACAAGGTTTTCCTGTAACAAGAAGTCACATCCGATTTTACAGCATACACAGTAATAGTGTTTTATAATCAGCATACACTGATTACGTAAACTAAGTTAGAGGCTAAGAAAAACAAGCACAAGGGAGATTTTTTTTGTTCTTCAAACTTGTGATGAAAGTCAGTGGCTGTGACAAGTATACAGTCCTCAAGAGCAGACCCATACAGTTTTATCTGGTAGATGTTTTCCTAGGTAACTCTTATATTAGTGGAAATTCCTACATAAGCTGTTCTTGTTCTTAGCCACTCTTGCTACTAGAAGGTATTTCCTAATACTTAACAGAAGGGGAGACTGAGTAACTTAAATTCTTTACTTCTAGTTCAATGTTTATTCACCTCCAAATACATAACCTACCTTCAGTTTCTCCAGACTATATAAACTCAGCTCCTCTGCTCTCTCCTCATAGAAGATGTTAGGTTACAAACACGATGACAGATCTTACCTCTAGCATCTATCTGCTTCACATTTCCTTCTGTGCCTCTGATAATGCTGCACTAGAAAGGCTAGCCTTTGTGAAAACCAGTGGTTCCTACAAACTGGGTTTTTTTGATGATGCTTGTAAAGTTAAGAGACAAGTAGAAGCCAACACTGAAATACAAAGTTCTGTCGTGGAAACCATTAACACAGAAGAACAGCAATGCAACCCAATTCAACTGTGCCTTTGGCTTAAGGGCCATTAAAGACAAGTTCAGCTTACAGAGGCACAGAACTGCATTGCCTCTCAAAACAGAAATGAAATTTGGCAGTGAGGAATTTCAATTTTATGCCAAAGGGATATACACATACGTAGATACGCACACATGCATTTGTATCTATACATCTCCACTGCTGAATCCACAGTCCAGGAATTACTGCAGACCTCTGCGTTTTATCAGATGAGCTACAAACCCTGTAATGAAGTAGCTACTGAAAAAATAAATCATTCACAACAATAAAAATTCTGAGGAAAAAAAGTAAAGTCTTTATGATCAAAACATTTTAATAATATTCTACTGTGCCCTAATGCTATGTTTAAATGGTCAACGTCACTATCAACTGAAAATCATTAAAACTCAAATGCATACTTCAGGTACTTAGGAACAATCTTTCATTCATTTTGAATGGCAAATGAAATTACTCTTGTATTTGCCTCAAATTCTGTTATATTTTTTGTCTTTGTCTACATTTTTAATATTAAAAAGTGCTACTTTCACACTCTAATTACAGTATAAAACATTTACCTTTGGATGTGGTGATTTCCCAGGCTTCATCTCTGCCTGAAAGACAATTCCATTTATGAACTTAGAGTAAAATTGCTTTCGAATTACACACATAATTAGTTTGTTTTATTTGAAAGAAAATTAAGAAGCGCTAACAGTCAATACCCCATAGAAGTTACATCTGCTTTACTGATGAAACTGTGTATATCACGCTCATGCTCCTCCTATCAAGCTTAGCTCATTTGAAACATCTGATAAACTTGAAAACAACACCTTACAATGAAGTTCGAGATTCATGTCAAACTGTCCTGTGTTTTATAGATTCAACAGAGTATAAAACATACATGGTGCATAATAACAAAGTTAGAAGATTTACATTGCCTCCTTAAAGCTAACTCTTAGTGTATAAGCAGCCTTAAAGTTACTGCTAAGAAGAGCATTCAGGTGTTTAACACCTGCTTTCTCATTCAAGAGCTTTAAAAAAAAAAAGTCAGTTTTAACACCCACTGCAATCCTTCAGATTTCATGGTTTCAAAACAAACAAAATGAGGTATTTTTTAAGAACACAGACAAATATCTTAAGACATCTGTTCTTTTTTTATTGGACTTCCTTCCCTTACACTTTCTCTAGACACAGACAAGATTTACACAAGTTCTACATTTATTCATATTTATTCAGAAGACTTCTATAAGTAGAAATATTAAGTCCTTATCTGTCAAAAACTAGTTTCAGAGAGGGGAACTAATCCAGAAGAAAACCTACAAGTTTAGTAAGGACACTTAGTACTAAAACCTTACAGAGGGACTGTCATTAAAAAAAAAAAAAAGTTGGAACAGCAAAGTAGCTACTTCTCATCAAGGAAAACACAGAGTAAGAATAACTGAATCTCAGAAATTTAAGGGCTCTGGCTTTTAAAATCAGTGAGCCATCTCTCCTAATTCTTTCCAACAGCAAACTTCCACAGCTCTGCACCAAGCGGTACATATTCATAATTGAAAGCATTATACTTTCCCTCCCAACTGACAAATCTTAATGAACCTTACAAGCGTGTCTTGAATTATGATGCTACTGTGTTAGGCAATACTAGTTGTTTAACTTCAATCAGCAAAGTTCTAATAGAATGAATCCCTCACAGTCAATTATTTAGCATTAGGATGCAGGGGCTACAGAATATACTGTGTGTTTAGCATTCCTAACTTAGCATGAGTAGATGGAATTGCTGGAGCCTTTGGCCACAAGCTGTGAACTTTTACTTAGGTTTGTATTTATCTGGGATAGTTAATTTTCTTCTTCATAGCTGGTATAGCGCTGCATTTCGGATTTAGTATGAGAATAATGATGATAACACACTGATGCTTTGGCTGTTGCTAAGTAATGCTTATCCTAAATTTAGGATTTTTTCAGTGTTTCCCATATTCTGCTGGCATCAGGTGCGCAAGAATCGCATACCAGAAGATAAGGAGGTTACAACCATCGGCAGAAGCTGCAACTCAGCAAGGTAAGAACAGTTAATGGCTGGCCTGGCTGGAGACAGAGAAAGAATCCGATAAAGTGTAAGAAGACCCCAGACCAGAAATCACCATTGGACCAAAAAGGCACATGAAGGATGCATGAGGGGCAGGTGCATAGTGTAAGGGTATAACTGTCCAGAGACTTCTTTGTCTGGGGTCCCTCAATGGAGGCACCCAGCTTCACCCTGCTGCTCTACCAGTCTATTAAGTAATTTATTTATATAAAATCTGAGAGTCTGCTACAGGGAAACCCAAGGCTGAACCTGAAGGAAGGGGAAGCACCTGAGAGTGTGCATGTGTGCGAGGAGTCAAAAGGGGCACCTGTCGGGACCCTGGAGTCACCCACTGCAAAGGGACTCCAGTCCCTGCAGTTCAAGTCTCAGGTGGTGTATGTGCATCTCCTTGAATGGCGTGTGAATGCTCGGGCACCAGCCTCTCCTTTAACAGTAGTGTAAAAAATCCCAAAACAACAAGAACAAACTAGGGATAGTTATAATATTAGAGCCTTAGCTGTCTAGTGAGCATGAGCTCCTAAAACGCATGACTTTCCAAGCACGTGAATTATTTCCATTTGTACCTACAAGAAACATCCTGCCCAGGCTCTTCAACATATTCAGTTGGCACACTAAGCGACGTTAAAGTCGCCACCCCCCGCCCCACCTTTCGTCAGCGCCCTAATTTGTAAGAATTGCTCCGTACGGCAGCGGAGACAAACGAAACATCAGAGCAAGATCCTGCTGCGCAGATGTCGAAGCTCTCCCAGGGCTTC